CACACGTCCGAGCGATGCCAGGCACGCAGTCTCTCCCACGGGCCATCGCTCGGACGGCCATTCCCTGTGCTGTTTTCGGGTTCGTGCGTGGTCGTTTCGCCGAATGGTCAAGGATGCGCCTCGATGGTCCTCGCCGAAGGAAATATGCACACGTCCGAGCGATGCCAAGCCCAGGAGGGGGAGGGAGGAGGGAATAGAATGGGATGGGCCCCGTCGCGGTGCGATGTGAGTCAACACTCCAGAGGCCGCCCCTTGAGCTCATCCACGAAGGAGACGAACCAGAAGACAAGCCAGGGGGAAGGGGGAGGGAGGATAGGGGGTGAGGAGGGAGAGCTCCGCCTCCAGGACGGAGGGAGGGGGAGGGGGAAGAAGGAAGGATCGGGCACGCGCTGACACGCATTACGGAGCCGTGACTCTGGCACGCGGGCGCCAGATCCACGGATCGGGAAAGGTACCTAAAAAGGATCATGCCAGCGCCGCCTCTTTTGAGCGACGGAAAGGAATGGGTCTTGCGCGCGTGAGCATAGCGACTTTACGCGGCGTCTACGCGGGCTGCCAACGCGGCACGCCATATTGGAAACGAAGGCGCTTGCGGGCAACCTTGCGCGCGACGCTTTCGCACCAACGTAAGTGAAGCCGAACTTTTTTTTCAGCGTCTCTCATTTTGGCGGCGAAGCGCGTTGATTGTGTATGGAAGCGGGACCAGTTGTTCATCCACGCGCCTCAACCGATGTATGCGGTTCCTGATCCTCGAAGGGAGGAGGAGGAGGCAAAGGGGGGGGGAGGAGGGCGAGGAGGAGGAGCTCCCCTTTCATTGGGAGGGAGGGAGGACGGAGGGGGAGAGGCAGGAGGAGAGACAGGGGCAAGCGAGCCAGGTGAGCTCGAGCTCGCCCCACGCGTGACTTCTGACATCCTTCTCCTACCCCTCCCGCCCAATTCTCTCGACTGCCTGAAAAGGTTTCCTACAAGCTGGCTGGGCTGTCCCAAAGAATCTTCATACCCAACACGCTGCTGCAGGATTAGACATATCACCTACACCGATTGCTGCGCAATAAGATAGATGCCTTTGGTACACTAGGCGGATGAACAGGAGCAGGAGAAAGAAGAAATAAGGAAATTATAGCAAGAATAGAAGGAGCAACACTTTCAGGAAAGGCGAAAGACGGGGGCCGGCAGTGACGACAAAGGAACCAGGTACAGACTTAGTGGGCCCTGGAAACGACAGGGACTTTTTTTACCGGTTTCGTTTTGCCGTTTTGTTGCCGGTTCCGACGCCGTTTTTTTACCGGTTCCGTCGCCGTTGTTTGACCGGTTCCGGCTCCGGTTTCAATCCTGGAGCCGTTTTTTTAGCGTTTCTGGTCGCCGTTTTTTTTACCGTTTCCATTTTCGAAGGACATTTTTTCTCGAAACGGTGAAAAAACGGCCCTGCCGTTTCCGGGGCCCACAAAGGGTACAGACAATTGGCCGACGCTGGGACGAGATCTCCATCCAGAGGAGAGGATCCTTCAAATGGAGTGTTGTAGAACGGAAACAGGAAGGAGGAGTAGAAGGATGAGGAATTATTTTCGTCACTCGTCCATCGACATCAGGGAACACACGAAAAACACTGCATGGGCCTGGATGAGGAGGTGGAGGAGGAGGAGGAAGACGACGACGACAAGACGGAGAGATCGGAAGAGGCGACAGAGACGGAAGACGAGGCGGAAGAGGGAGGATAATTTGGAGATGAGGAGGAGGAGGAGGATGGAGAGAGGAGGATGGAGAGAGGATAATTTGGAGATGAGGAGGATAATTTGGAGATGAGGAGGAGGATGGAGAGAGGAGGGCCCGTTCCCCTCCGCCCCGCCCTCCCCGCTCGGGCGGGTGGTCATGGGGGGTGACCCAAACGGGGAGAGGCGGAAGGGGCCCCAGCGGGGCTTTGGGGGGCCCCTTTTGGGCACCCGCTGGCTCCAAAAACAGCCCCACATGGGTCCCCCTACGTAGGGTTTCTCCTTCACCCCCCATGAGGGTCACCCCCCATTGCCACCCGCCCGAACGTGCGGGCGTGCCACCGCCCATGAGGCCGGCCGACCGGCCGGCCTCCCCGAGAGGTTCGGTGGCGCTGATCGCTGTCCATCCTCGGGGATCTGCTCACTCGGGAGCGGCCAAGAGGGGGGCGTCCAAGAGGGGGGGGGTGCAAATCGTGACCAGCAGCAAGTGCGCGGCCCAGCGGGGGGGCCAGGGAAGTAATGGAATAAGAGGAGGCGCCATGAAGTCTGGGGAGATATCGTGGCCCACGCCATGATATCCCCCCCCTAGTCATCACCCCGCTCTTTGCCGCCCCCGACGTCCTCGGGGATCTACTCACACGGGTCAATCCCAAACCCGGGCCAGCCAATCAGGCCTTGCAGGATCCTGCAAGAGCCTGAAGGATCCTGCGCCCAAGCCCGGGTCAATGCAACCCTGGCTCTGCAGGATCCTGCAAGATCCGACGTTCTGACTGACTCCCGTTTGCAATGACCCCCGTCTTTTGAGCCCCGGCATACTCCGAGAGAGGACCAATCGAGATTACAATCAGCCCGTATCGTAAGGGCGCACGGTGACGATGCGAGGGCAGTAAAAGGCCATGTCGACACGCTGCGAGAGGGGCACAGCCAACGAAAGTAGGAGGCAAGGAGGGGGTACCCTTGGGCAGGCTGCCCATCCTTACTAGGCTGGTTGACTGTAAGACAAATGCTGTCGTGGGTCTGCACGGACTTCTCGGATCTGCGCTGGGCCCCCCTTGCCCCCTTGCCTGGCGCGCGGAGCGCGCCGGGAAGGGGGGCCAGGTCCAGCGCCCATCCGATCAATCCGCGCGGCGCCCGTGAAAATAATGTGAGCTTTTCCATTGAATCAGCCACGGATGATGGGAACTGCAAGCTTCCCAACTGATCGGAAGGGGGACTCCACAAAACTACAACAGGACAGAGAAAAGGATCACAAACTGGCAGCAGACCGAGTGGGCAACGCGGTCGCCAAAACTGACCTGGGAGGACGAAGTGAAGGGGAGGGAGCGATGGGCAGAGGGAGGGAGGGAGGGAGGGAGGGAGGGAGGAGGGAGGAGGGAGGAGGAAGAGGAGGAGGAGGAGGAGGAGGACGAGGACGAGGAGGAGGAGGAGGAGGAGGAGGAGGAGGAGGAGGAGGACAACGCGCCTCCGAAGAAAGGTCGGGTCCCAACCCCGCTCGGAGCAGGCCGCGGCGACGCGCGGCTCAGCATGGGACGATGTATTCCGCGCGCGATACGGGGACCAGGTCACCACCCGCGGTGCCTGGCCCCCGACCGCGTCGTCGCGCACGAGCGCGTCGACGAGCACCACCGTGTGCAGGCGGCGGGGGGGGGCGGCGGCGGGCCGGCCGCGAGACGGCCAGGCCCTCGCCGTCCCCCACTGCCCCCCCCTGCAGCCTCGCGCAGCAGCGCGCACGGCGGCGCGGACGACCCCCTGCTGCGGGAGCCCGAACTCCTCCCCGACCCCCGCGACCACCTGCCGCGAGGGTCCGAAGAGGAGGGCTGCCGCGGCAGGCACCGCCGCGCCGCCACCACCGCCAAGGCCAGCACCTGCTTCCGGCGACGGCGCAGCGTCCGCTCCAGCCATGCCCGCCCCAGCCTGCGCAGCGGCAGCCGCTCCGCCGGCTCCCCGAGCCCGCTCCGCAGCCGCCGCGGACTGCCACCTCCGACGGCGCCGCGCACGGCGCGTCAGGGCACCAGCCCACTCGTCGGGCTCGAGGTCCGACATCTCCGCGCGCGGCCCCATAGGACGCCGCCCCACCCGCCTGCGCGGGCAACAGGCCCGCGCGCGCGACCGCCGCAGCACCAGCGGCGTCAACGTCCGCGGCAGCAGGGGACCCCCCCGCCACCAGCAGGGGACCCCCAAGATAGCTCAAGAGCCTGTCAGAACAGAGGGCCTCAAGACGGCCCAAGGGGACCCCAGCCCAAGAGAACTAACTCCAATGGGCTTTCCTGGAAGGCCCGATGGGGGCCCCCCGTGTTGGTTTTCGCCATGTCGACGCCGTCGCAGCCGCCGGCCGCGCCGCCCACCGCAGCCGCAGCAGGGGCCAGAGCAGCGCGGCGCCGGTCGGCACTGCGTCGGCGCCTGCGCCGACGGGCCTCCCTTGCCGCAGCGGCGGCAGGCGGCGAAGCAGGTGCCCCATCGTGTGCAGGCCCCTCGGCGGGCGTCGCGGCGGGTGGCACGGGCGCCTCGGACAGCCTGAAGAGGGCTGCCGATACCGCCGCGCGCGCCGCCGCCGCCGCCGTCCTGCGGGGTGCATTGGGCAGCGGCCACGAGGACGGCCGCCTCGACCAGCGATGCAGCGGCAGCAAGCGGCGCAGAAGCCCCTCTGGCCCCCCGCAAAGCCGTTGCGAATGCTTGAGCCAAAGTGGCTACGGAGGTGGAGGAGGAGGAGGAGCAGGAGGAGGAGGAGGAGGAGGAGGAGGAGGAAGAGAGCGAGGAGGGCGCGGACCACAAGCTAGTCTTTGGAAGGCAGAGAAAATCCTACGCATTTTCGGATTGCCCTTGTTTCTCTGTTCGGGCGCCTTTTGTTGGTTTGGATCCCCGGCCGTGCTTTTCCGGTTCCAACTACAGTGTCAATCCTGGGCCACTTGTATTTTCGTTTCGGCCAGCCGTTTCTGGTACCAATTAAGGATGCACCATCAGAAACTGAGGACATGCGTAAGATCGGTGCCTGGACAAGGGACGGGGATATCGTCGACCTCGTCGTCGCCGTCGTCGTCCTGCTGCTGCCCTCGGGCCAAAACTGCTAGAAACATAGACAACAGATCCGATGATCTAGCCTCGGGTCAGGCGTGTCCTCGTACATGGGGATTTTGGACGAGAAATGAAACATGTACAAAACATAAAAAAAGATGCTCAAACAAATGAAAAAACGTTCCCTGACTATCATTTCACCATTTATGAATATTCCTCCTGTAGAGGGACAGGCCCGACGTAAATCTAGCACGTGGGCGCCAGATCCACGGATCGGGG